ATTGTTGAGACTCTGTTGGGCTTGTTGCCTTATTTGGTGAGCATGAGGGTTGTCCATGCCACATTGATTGACTATGTCTTATTTTGAATTCGGGTTGTATTAACTGTATCAAGATTATGGTCTGGACTGCGTGTTGTAGTTCCGTGACTTAGATACTCATATCTTTATATTATGAGTTTAATCAATTTACATAGTTGTTCGTTTACAATTACATACAGACAATGTTTTGAAAAAGAATTAAGAAATCAACTTGGTAATTGATAATGACGTCATAATTGAAAAGAAAAAAATATTCCACATTTTTATATTAAGCGTGGCTTAATACGATGACATGATAACAAACCGGGTATACACAGGGTGTTACACTCCCCAACACTTGAAACAACCCATAATGGTCAAGTTCTCTCAAATTTTCGTGGGTTTGGAGGCCAAAGATCTCTTCATACAATGCTCCCCACAAGATGGACTCAACATGAAAGTTAATCTCAAGGAGGTGGGGAACAACTTTGTAGTTCAAGGTTTTTCCTAAAAGTGGCTAGAAATAGAGATAGGGTTTCAAGCTTTCAAATGCCACAAAAAATGGCTTCCTTGGCTGATTTGAGAGAGAAGACTGCGGGTGAGGGAGAGAGAGGAGAGAGAATGAGCTGAAATTTTGTTTTTCACATGTGTTCAAATTCACTTAAGTCACTTAAAGTGGATCTCATATGTCACTTCACTCACTTGAACCTACTCATTTAATCCACCAATCCTCACTAAATTCATAAATCATCAATTTCATCCAAACTCAACATCTTTTCAGTTCTTAGAATATCAATTCTATTTTCACATTTTTCGGTAAAATTATACAGCAGTATTTTACCCAGTATAAATCACTATTCATCAAATTTCTCAAAACGCACCTATCAACTCAAAATTTCATTCTAAACTCATTTTCAGTATTATTTTCATCAAATTATGCTCCGATTTAATATTTCACTTCCTAGGGTTTCACAGTTGGTAAATTATTATTTTTTCCCTGATGGGTATTTTGACCCAAAACTCAGGATTTTCTCTAATTACGCCCTTTAACCCTCAATTAGGCATATAATAATATATTTCAAATATACGAGGTGTTATAGCGATGGTGGTGGTGTGGTGGTGGTGGCGGTGGTGTGGTGATGGTGGAGGTGGTGGCGGTGACGATAACGACTGCGATGATGGTGGTGGTTGGTGGCGGTGGTGGTGACAGTGACAGTAGTCGTGGTGGCGGCGGCGGTGGAATGGTGGTAGTGATGGGTGGAGGTGGTGGTGGTGGTGGTGATGGCGGCACTGGTGATACAACGACGGTGGGCACGATAATGGCGGTGGTCGTGTCGGGATGATGATGGAGGTGGTGAGTGATTGAGAGAGACAAATGTTTCTCATTTTATGCCCGAGAATAGAAAAACAAAAAGTTTTTTATTCTTTTTTCTGTTCCCCAGCACAAAAAGTAAACTGGTTCATCCCGGAAACAAAAAAATAAACTGATGTTATCAAACGAGTTTTCTGTCTATATTTTTTCTTGTAATAGAAATTAAAAAAAAATTGATTCTGAGAAAGTTATCATGCACGCCCTCATCATCCTGGTAAGACATTAAAATTGTATAAAATTATGAAATGTTATACAAATAATGCAAAAAAACATTGAATTGATAAAATCTTATTTTAATTTAAAGATACTGTAGCTCTTTTCGAATTTGCTGATACAACATCAGTGTCGCAAGCATTATCGAATACTGCTTGATCCTGAAAATTAAAAAATTTGTAAAACTAATACGAAGTATTAATATAATCAAATAATGTTTGAAAACGAAAACAATAAACATTCGGGTCAACAACAGACTTAAGGTATGTTACGAAATAGTTTCGCTGTAGCAAACTTTAAAAACTTGATTTTTTGGCTCCATGTATGATTCCAAATTCTTCTTTTTCACATTGACTTTAAATAACATGGATTTGTCATTAAGAACATTAAGCTCTTCCGGATAATGATCCAAATCACCACCCTGCATTAAAATGTTTTACAAAGTTAATTTATTTATTCTTAAAGGAACCTAGTGAACATAAAATATGGAGGAACTAGAATAATACCATTTTGAAATGTTGCTCGCGTAAATAAGACCTGTAATGTTGATGTTGTTTTTTTATAATATCTCCTTCACGAAATTTATTCCGGACTTGTAAAGAATCTTTCACAATAGCATGGATCCTTCCACCATTCAAAACACACACGATAATAAAATAACAAAAACCAAATTATATCATTTCACAACAGTTATGCCAAATAGAAACCAAAAGTATTACAAGTTCATCCAATAGAACTATCTCCACATTGTCATCAAAAATTTTCTGATACAAATTTGGAACATTCTAAGTCCTAACCACCCTAACCTTAGTCCTCCACTCTCCTTGGTAGGATTAAGATTATTTATAAAATCATATTTGGAATACATAATGCAGAAGAACAACTTGAGAAGAAGGAGAACAAAAATAGTCAGGGAACAAAAGAACTATGTGCACATAAGTCAATTTTTCAAAGAATGGAGTAATTTTTCACTAAAGTTTTAGATGGAGCAAAATAAGAAAAATATCTTATTTAAATAAGAAAAAAAGGAAAACTAAATATGATGGCTAATTAACCTCTTGATTGTTTATCAAAAAAACCTCTTGATTAGCGCCCCATCACTTCCCACGTTATATTTGGTAATTTTTTTCTTCTTTATCCAATCGATTAGTTTAGCACCCCATCACTTCCCAATCATATTGGGTAATTTTATTTTTTTATCCAATTGATTGATTTCTCTAATTTTAGCCAATCAATCTAATTAATTGGTTTCCTTAATTTGAGTCAATCAATCTAATTAATTATTTTCTTTAATTTTTCCGTTGTTATCAAATCTAATATATTTAAATTCTAATTTCAAATTTCAAATTCAAAATTAGAATTTAAATTAATTTTATTAATTTAACATTTAAATTAATTGGTTGTACTATGGATCAAGTCCCACTTGGCTCATGAATCATGATGCATATAATTATCTTTTTAAAAACTTGCTTAAGATGAAAAGTTTATACTTTCTAAAAGAATCTAAATTATTATATGAATTACATGTAGCAAAATTTTTCACATAATATTAATAACTCTGAATTATAATACAATATAAATAATATAGTACCAAACTTATAAAAGAAAAGAAAATCATACTCTTATGTTGTATAAGATGGATCTCTTATTTTTTTCTTTTTTTCTTTTTTCTAAAAGTTGGTGGGGCCTACTTTATTTATCTCTTAACATGAGAAAACTTTTCTCATATTACACGAGAAAAGTAATCCCTTAAAATAAAAAACCTATAACGTCAATTACTTTAAAAATAAAAAAGGTTATGAATCACTATAATTTTTTTAATATTTTCATGATCACACGTAAGCAAAAATCGCACTTATATGATATTACCAAAAAATAAATAAAAAAATCGCACTTATATAACGAAAGTAAATAATAGCAGCCAAGTGGGAAATCGCACTATAATATTACAAAAAAAAAAAAAAAAATCGAACTTATATAACGAAATCAAATAATAGCAGCCAAGTGGAAAATTCATTGAAATATTAATTAATAACTCCTGTATTTGATGGCTTTCTTGTCTCGGACAATGAGATTTTCTCCTTTTGTTATCAGCACCTTCTTCCTATTTTTTTTTTGGAAATTAAAAATTTTAGGGGAGATTAAATGCAAGTACCCCATGAGGATAATGAAAAAACCCCTCCCAACTCATATACAATTTCTTGTATGGATTATATATCGTTTCACCAATAAAGCTTTCTCCCTTTTTTTCTAATCATGATATTTTGACTGAAAGTTTCATCTTTACAAAAGTAATGCTATTAAAAAAAGAGAAAGAAAAACAAGTAGCATTTTCATCTATGAAAGGTTTCCATCAATGCGGTAGAATGTTGCAATTCCGTACAGTCTAAATTTTATAATTTTTTTAAATTATTTTTAGAAAATGAAGAATAATTTTCAATACAGTATTTTATTTAGGTAATTTTTTTCATTTTAATATTTATTTATTTCATGAATGTAGGACCATATATGGAGGTAGAGTTTGAAGAAGGATACAAACAAGAGCATCAAGTGAAAAATATAAATAAAAGAAAAACAGAAATGAGCATTTTAGACAACCTGTTCTGTAACATTTGATCTTACAGTTTTATTTTTATAAATCATTTGACAAATTTTCTCAAGTTTTTAACATAACTAAAAGAAGGAGAGGTTAAATTTATTGTTATTTTTTCTTATTATTATTAATTTTATTATCATTGGATCAAAATCAAATCAATAATTATCACTTGATATTATTTTATAAATATTGATTTGATTTTGATTAAACGATAACAAAATTTATACTAAAAAATAATAAGAAAAAATAGTAATAATTCTGGGTATCGGATCTTTCCATACAACGGGCTTCAGCACCGTATGTTGCAAGAAACAGGGCTTTGACCCATAACCCAAACTTTGCAAAAGACCCAACAACCCCATAAAAGGAGAAAAATTAAATGCTCCATTACTCTTCAACCGCCACGTTGGCGCGTGTATTAACCTTCCGAGCATGGTCCACACCAGCAGCCCACCGAACCGGAGAGTGTTCAGCACGCGCCACTCTTCCACCTACGAAAACTTTTCAAATTTCCGCAAACGAAACTCCCCGCCACTAAAGTCCCTCGCCCCTTTATTCCCACGTGACTTGCACGCCCATTGCCGCGTCCCTCGTCATTGGTGCGTGCAATGAACGATCCAAAATCCCGAGTGAGTCCACGTCCCAAATTTTCGGTGATATAATGCTTCCCGGGCACGACTCTTTGGTACCCTCAAACGCTTCGCTTGGTCCACGGTTCCCCACGAACCCACCGTTGCCGTACACCTGTGACGATTCGATAAAACGACTATCGTTTTAAGAAAGAGAGAGAAAGACGAAGAATTCTAGAGAGAGAAAGAGAAAGAGAGAGAAAGAGAAAGAGAGAGAGAGTGCGAGATCTGATCGGAAGCAAGGTAAACGAGCTTTGAAACCCTACTGTTTCTTTCTCTCTTGTTGCGTGTTTACGGTTTTGGTTCTTCGTTTCGCTCTTGGTTCGGTGAAGGTTCCGAGTGAAACCTAGGGATTTGGGGTATTGATTTGGTGGTAGAAGGAAGCCCTAGAAATTCTAGGGTTTTGTCTTGCGTGATTCTTTTTGATTTGTGGTTGTGTAAAACCCTAGAATTTTGGGGATTTGCGATTGGTTTTGGACTTAGGGTTTTGGATGTATGGCTTCGGGGTCTATAGCTGGAGGAGATGATGGTGCGAGAGAGAAGAAGAGATACAAGGAGAGTAAGGTCTATACAAGGAGAGCAAAGAAAACCCCAAACGTTGGGAACACCGTTGCTCCCGTCACCACAACTACTAAAAACGACGACTCCACCGCCACTGTCAAGAACACCAACACCTATGAGGCCAAGAGCAATAGCAATGATGTTTTGGCTCATCTACCCGCACCACCTGTGGTGCAGGAGGATGAGAATTTGGCTCAGCCGCAAGTGAGTTCAATATTGGAAGATACGGATTCGGCTCAGCCGCAAGTGAGTACAATATTGGAAGATGGGAATTCGGCTCAGCCGCAAGTGAGTCCAATATTAGAGGATGGGAATTCGGCTCAGCCGCAAGTGAGTCCAATATTGGAGGATGGGGATTCAGTTCAGCAGCAGGCGAGTTCAATATTGGAGGGTAGGAATTCACCTCAGCCGCAAGTGAGTCCAATATTGGAGGATGGGGATTCAGTTCAGCAGCAGGCGAGTTCAATATTGGAGGGTAGGAATTCACCTCAGCCGCACGTGAGTTCAGGATTGGAGGATGGGAATTCACCTCAGCCGCAAGTGAATTCAGGATTTGAGGACGGGAATTCTCCTCAGCCGCAAGTGAGTCCAATATTGGAAGATGGGGATTTGGCTCAGCAGCAAGTGAGTCCAATATTGGAGGATGGGAATTTGGCTCAGCCGCAGGTGAGTTCAAGATTGGAGGATGTGAATTTGGTTCAACCGCAAGTGAGTTCAGGATTGGATGGTGGGAATTCACCTCAGCCGCAAGTGAGTTCGAGATTGGAGGGTGGGAATCCGCCTCAGCTGCAAGTGAGTTCAAGATTGGAGGGTGGGAATTTGCCTCAGCTGCAAGTGAGTTCAAGATTGGAGGATGGGAATTCGCCTCAGCTGCAAGTGAGTTCAAGATTGGAGGATGGGAATTCGCCTCAGGCTCAAGTGAATTCAAGATTGGAGGATGGGAATTCGCCTCAGCCTCATGTTAGTTCAAGATTGGAGGATGTCAATTTGCCTCAGGCGCAAGTGATTTCTGGATTGGAGGAAGGGAATTTGCCTCAGGCGCAAGTGATTTCAAGATTAGAGGATGGGAATTTGCCTCAGTTGCCGGTACTGCCGGTTTCTGATGACTCGTGCAGCCATCAGCAGGATGAACCTTCTAGCCTCAATGTTCAGAAGGAGGGTGATGGACCTTCAAGCCCTAGCTGTAGGCAGGAGGAAGTTCCTATCACCCGGGACCTACCTGTAGGGAATGGGGCTGTGGAGCCACAGCTGGAAGACCGAATTAAGATCAGTTTGGCCTCAAAGTCAAAGCAGGAGATGTGGGAGCTAAGACAGAAGCTTGAAAGTGAGCTTGATGTTGTGAGAAGTTTGGTCAAGAGGATTGAAGTGAAACAGAGGCAGATTGGTGTGTATGGAAATTCAAATGTGTTGGTGGGTTATGGGGTTGATAATGGGGGTGGAGCAAAGCGTGCTCAGTCGGAGGTGGCATCTGCTGGTGTTCCACGACTAACTACCAGGCCTTTGCACCAGTTAAGTTTGTCAATGTTAGAGAATAGTCAGGGGGTCAGTGAAAATGTTGAGAAGGAGAAGAGAACGCCTAAAGCAAACCAATTTTATCATAACTCAGAGTTCTTGCTTGCTAAAGATAAATTCCCACCTGCAGAGAGTAACAAGAAGTCAAAATTGAATTGGAAGAAGCAAGGTAGGGGAGAAATGGGACATGGGCTTGGGATGGCATCCAAGTTTTTCAAGAGCTGTAGCTCACTGCTTGAAAAGCTGATGAAACACAAGCATGGTTGGGTGTTTAATGCTCCTGTTGATGTTGAGGGTCTTGGTTTGCATGATTATTTTACTATTATCACTCATCCAATGGACTTGGGAACTGTGAAGTCAAGGCTGAACAAGAATTGGTACAAATCACCGAAGGAATTTGCAGAGGATGTGAGACTCACTTTTCGAAATGCAATGACATATAATCCAGAGGGACAAGATGTTCATATAATGGCAGAGCAGCTAGCAAAGATATTTGAGGACAGATGGGCTATAATAGAGTCAGATTACAATCGTGAGATGAGATATGGCATAGATTTTGGGGCATCTCCCCCTGCACCTTCACCTTTGTCTAGAAAGCTTCCTTCATTTCCTCCTCCGCCCCTTGATATGAGAAGGATTTTGGATAGATCAGAATCATTGACACAAACACCAAAACCCATGAGCATTACTCCATCAAGTAGAACCCCAGCTCCAAAAAAGCCAAAGGCAAAAGATCCTCATAAAAGAGACATGACATATGACGAAAAGCAAAAATTAAGCACAAACCTAGAGGGTTTACCTCCTGAGAAGCTTGAAGTTATTGTACAAATCATGAAGAGGAAAAATTTAGCACTTGGTCAACATGACGATGAAATTGAAGTGGACATTGATAGTGTGGATGTTGAGACTCTCTGGGAGCTTGATAGATTTGTGACCAACTATAAGAAAAGTTTGAGCAAAAACAGGAGGAAGGCTGAACTTGCTCGAGCTAGAGCAGAAGCTTTACAGAATGCCATCCAAAAGGTAAAGAATTGAATTTTAACTTCTAATCACCAGTGCCTGCATTAGGTAGCAATTATTGCTAATTACATTTATATCTTGCTTTCTGTAGAGCCAGCCACCAGCTATGGTAGAGATTCCAAAAGAAACACAAATAGGTAAATTTTTAAGAATCAGAGTTGGTGTTATTTGGACTTTTATTTATCTCAATTTTTTTTTAATTGAAATATCTTGTCTGCCTCTTTGTGTGCAGATGAAAGAAATGTTCCCCCGTCCTTACCTGTGCAAGAGGGAAATCAAGCAGATAATGGGAGTAGATCAAGTAGTTCAAGCAGCTCAAGCAGCGATTCTGGATCTTCTTCAAGTGGTACATTCATTAATAACTCAGTTATCATATATCTTACATGTTATTTATTCATTTACATGCTTTTGCTTATTGTTGAAGTCAAATGTTCTGTTTTTCTCATTTGTATGTGCTTTTGCAGATTCTGATAGTGACAGTTCCTCAGCATCTGGATCTGATGCAGGGTCACAAGGGACTTGAATATACTGTGTCAGGTAGAGAGTTACAGCCACTGAAGTTTTATCTTGCTTTATGCTCTGTGACTGTTATTGTTTTCTGCATCATATTTTATCAGCACTTCGGCCTTTTCTGCTTCTGCATCATATTTGTATGTAGCTTTCAAGCTGATTTTTTATTTAAATAAACTGAGTAATGAATTTGTTGCTTATAAATTATAATTGCTGGTTTGCCATGAGGTGCGTGGTTGAGTGCATTTCTGGTGCCCTTGGCCTGTAAATTGGAACACATTCTAGCTGAGTGATGTGTATGTTATACATTTTGAAAGTTCAAGCAATCGTGTCATATGAGCTCAGTAATTATGAAGCAAATATGAAATTGAATTTAAGTGGATGGTGTTTCAGTAAGTTTAGTCTTTACATTTAGTTTAGTTTTTGTCATGAAAACTTTGAAGCTATTTAAAAAACAAGATTGGGGCTTATCATTTACTTTCTTTCTCTCTTTGCTTCTTTGTTGTGAACTAGTGGTGTATTACCCCTTTGAAGACTTAGTCCTTCGAAGGTCAGAAAGGGTTTATATGCAACTGCGTTGCTTCTTTGTTGTGAACTAGTGGTGTATTACCCCTTTGAAACTTAGTCCTTCTAAGGTTAGAAAGGGTTTATGCAACTGCATAAAGTCATATTCTTTAGTGAACATTCATACATCTGTTTATATCAGCCTGGCTGTAAGATAAGTATTGATTCCTGTTTACGTACTCTATACAATTTGAAATCATTAGCTTATGCCATCTTCTCTTGGTTGTGAGCATGTTTCTGCTTCAAGGTTATTGCAAAATTTGTTAAACCAATAATATTGTTAGTTATTAGCAACTTAAGTTTAATTCTCTTTTTTTCCCCTTCCCCTTATAATTACTTTATTTTGGTCTAGTAATCTAGTTAGATAGATGGCTTCTATGAAATGTCCTTAGTGAGTTTGTGTGCGCATGTGACTCATGCTCTGTTGGATATGTTTATTGACATTTTCTTCTGTATTGTGTTTTCTCTCTCTGGAACTTCCATGTCTAAACAATAGATGTGAAATTCGCTGGCTAGTCGGTTGCCTTTGTCAAATTGGTGCTTCTAATTTAGTTTGTTCTGATTTAACCATATTTGTTGAGTTGAAGTCAGTAAGTGCTAAACAAAAATAGTTTATAAACTCTATAAAAATAGATGAGTTGTTCACGTTGCTGCTTATGTAAAAATCCTTCTCATTAAACCAACTAGTGAAGGTAGAGATGAGGGTAATTCTTGTACACAGTCTTACCTTTGGATATTTGCAGACAGACTCTTTTTTAGATTCGAACCTATAATCTTTTTGTCACAAAGGAGCAGTTTTGTCACTGCCCTAGGCTAGCCTTTTTATGTTGCTGCTTATATATTTGACTAATTTATAACGCAGTTTCTGTTTTCTCTGAAAGTTGGCTGATATTGGTGTATATACTATTTATATTTTAAAAAATTGTGTGGAAGATTGCATTGTTATTAATTTACCTCTAGACAAATAATATCTGCTTGAAAATATTACAAGTACGTTCTAGTGAGAATATAAATACTGGTAGTCTGAGACGTTATAATTGGTTTCTTATAAATCTATAAAAGTATTCGGTCCCTGTAGGAACTATTATGGAAGGGGCATTCCGGGGTTTGTGAGTACTGAAGATTACTACATTGCTTTTTTAACATGATTTTTTTTTTCTTTTTGGTTGTATTGCACTGCCTAAAGCAGCTTTGTCAAAAGTGAATGAGTTGTTACTGTTTGAGTTCTGTCATTGATTTTGAAATGGTGGTTTCTGTTTCTCTATCTGTCATATTCATAATAAGTAAGATTTTTTTTTTTTTTTTTTAAAAAAAAGATTATTTAACATACCTAATTTGCATTTCTTGGCCTGTTCCAATTTAACTTGGACTCTTAACGTTTTCTGAAACCTATCTTGCTTTTTAAAATAGGAGGAATAAAAATGCATTACCATGGAGCATTATGCCCTTGGAGATTCAATTACATGTAATATCACCTCGTCTTCTGAGCCCAAAAGAAATAACAGATCTTAAGGAACCTGTCATATTTCTCTTGTTAATGTTGCTCAGTATTATTTTTTGTTATGCATTCTAAAGTTTAATACAATGCTTGAAATTGAAAAACCCAAAATACACGTGCACCTGTGCATACGATTACTTGTCTGAAGTTATTCATCATAGAAAGCTTGGACTTGAACTAGTGCTAACTTCTCCTCCCATTACATTTCATGTGGCAGATGTCAGATATTAGGAGTAGATAATGATTCGACGCTTGCCTAGTTGGAATTTTGAATCTTCCAGATTATGGATCTAAATTTAACAGTTGGGTGACAGAGGACGAATTCTGAAGGCCGCCAATGATCCTGCCTATGCAGCATGGGATTTTTTCTTACCATTTGTTGGAAATGTTGCTCCAATGCTACTGGTGGCCTTGTTGGGACTCTGACACGAATTCATGTATATTATTTGGTAGAATGTGATGATAATTAGGTATTTTGTTTTTCGTAGCATGTGTACATTGCTAACTAATGCTGCAGCGTTCATTGATGACGTGTTTTCTTTGTGTTAGCAGATTCAGGATTCTTGGTGTTATACAAAGATAATATGTAATTCCTGGTTCTTAAAAATATCATTCCATGTAGTTTACAACTGTGAAAATTTAAAGGAGGATCCAATCTCAATTAGTGCCAAATGACAATTTTAGGTGGTTTTCCTACCTTGGTTATCAAAAAATGACGAGCCTGTTTCTATAAGATAGTTCCTGCCACAAACTCAAGATTTGCGCTTCTATGCACTTTTTTTTTTATATATAAATGGAGGGCATGGCTCATAGAAACTATATTAATAGTTGTTGCATGATCAAAGAAACATGCTCAAACAGTAAGTTTGTACAAAACAAATTCCAAACAGATATAATGCTTACAAGGGGAGAGGAATAATACACTAGCTCTTCACTCTTGTGGTTAAAACCTAACTTGGTTAAACTATCAGTACATTCATTAAATTCTCTTGGAATAAACTTCCATAGAACTTTATCAAAACTGCTTGCTGCATTTCTTATTCTGTTGCTTAAGGAAACAAAGCCACCTTGATCAGTTTGGTCATCTACACAGAGTAAAGCTGCTTGCTATCACTTCCAGTCCAAACTTTTGGATACTTCCTGATTGCTGCCAGCTTTAGTCCTTGCAACATGCCCCACAATTCAGCTTCTACAGAAGAGCAAGCCTTTAGGTACAAAGAGAAACCTCCCAGCCATTCTCCATTGTCTGCAACTAAAAAACCACCCCAAGCTCCTATGTTAGAGTTTAAGCTAACAGCACCATCAACATAAATTCGCACTACATTCTGCATTACACTATGATCTGGATCATCACAGCATAATGGTGAAAAAGTCCTTGACAAGAATGGATCAGTTGAGGCATACTTCTTCATGTCAACAACATAGTTTAAAATTGTGTTAACTGGATCAGTAGGCCACGAAAAATTAACCTCATGAACAGAAGCATTTCTCCATTCCATAAGAACCACCAAGTTACAAAGAAGACTTCTTTCCAAGAGTTCCAGAGATTGGTTGAAAAAGGTTTGAGAAGATTTAGCCGAAACCACTCTTGGCCATCCATGGTCATGAAGGAAATAAGGATAACTCCACAAAACCATGTTTCCCGTATACTTTTTGCAGCTTTACAGTCTCTAAGGATGTGAACAGTTGTCTCTTGACTAATGAAACAAATAGGACATTGAATCTCCCCTCCACCCCAGTGACAAGTAATACTTCTGACAGGTAATTTATTCAAGCCAGCCAGCCAAATAAAAACAGCAATCCTATAGGGTCCTCTCCACTTCCAAATAGCAGTCCAAATTTTATCTTTTCCCTTGTTAAAATTCATTAGCTGACAGTAAGCATTTTTAACAAGGGATTTACCTGGACTTTTTATTTTCCAGTTTAACCAGTCATCAGAGCTATATAGACTAGGAGGAGAAAAGCTGCTCATCTTGCTTAGGATAGATTCATCCAGGAAATTCCTCAAATAGTTCAGATTCCACTCCCTGTATTTTCATCAACCACCTCATAAACTTTAAGTTCCAAATCAGTGTTGGGGGGTTTAGGTGAGGCCAGATCCAAAAGATTAACTTGATCGAGCCCCCAATCATCTGTCCAGAAGAAAGTCTCCTTGTCATTGCCAATCACCCATTCTAATTGGTTTGCCATTTTCTCTCTAGCTGAACAAATGTTCTTCCAAAGAGGAGAGTCACTCACTTTAGCAATCAGATTGCGCTTAGGATTCTGCTTCCTCCTATACTTGTCAAGCAATACCTGGGCCCATAAGCTATCTTGATCATTTATTAGCTGCCAAGCCAATTTCTGCATAAAGGCTTCGTTCTGGATCCTCAGATTGATAATGCCAAGGCCTCCACCCTCCTTAGGGTTGCATAGTGTAACACCCTGTATATATCCGGTAATGTTATCAGACTATCGTATTAAGCTGCGCTTAATTAAAAATGCGAAATATCTTTTTCTTTTCAATTATGATGTCATTAATCATTACCAACTTGATTACTTAACCATTTTCAAAACGTCGCCTGTATGTATATTGCAATAAACAACTAACTGAAAAATCTCATTAATTAAATAACATAGGTATGAGTCTCTAGTCACGGAATTACAAAACGTAGACTGGACCATCTAACAGTTTATACAACTCCAACTAAAAGTACTAACCACAAAGTGACATGGACAAACCCCATGCTCACCCAAATAAGGCATCAAAGCCCGACATCAGTCTCAACAACAGCAGCATAAGCATATAAGTGCAGAAAACATAAACAGCATCCAAATCCAGCATTCATACAGGTCAGCATAACTAACAGCAATATCATCAACTAAACTCTGGCCTCCTGCCACCAGAGGCATCAGTCCCCATACTACCTAAACCTGAAATAAGCATTCCCCAAACGTGGGGTGAGATCTCTAAACAAGAAATCTCAGTAAGGCAAGGGGTCCTCAAGGATCTTCCACCCCAAGCTCACTTACATGTGCAATATAAGTTCCAAAAGCAGTAACTCAATATAAGTTCCAAAATTCAATGCAGTGCAACAGATATTCATACCATGTGTGTTTAACTATTCTACTGGCTAGAGAAATACATAAATACGTCTATTACCTACAGATAGTACAAGGAACATCGCTTGCACCTCACCCACAGCCTCACCATATTGTATGTACTACATACTCAGGCTTACCGTATAGGTGGAACACCACATGCATATCATAAAGGCACTAGCATAAAACAGCTCAAAAGCATTTCCAAAACATCAAAAGCATGTAACACAGCATGCATATAACCATACCCCCATGGGACATGGTGGAACCATAACATGGCTAAACCGAGGACACGAAAGGTTACCTCTTAAACAATCAATCCAAGTCAAGTCCACACAAGCTCAATGTCCAAACACAGCAGATCACAATCTGATATGGACCAATAATAAATCAATAAACATGCACTACAAGCATACCTCATAAAGACAACGTCTTTCTTACGTTTTACGTCTTAAGGCTTCTCACCAAGCCATAAGCCCTTAATCTATTGATTCTGACTTAGTTAAGTATTTATAGAACTTCAACTCCATCAAAATAGGGTCCACAAACCCATAGCTCAGTTCTGTATGAATAGTACCTTACTGTTCCTCGAAATTCCAAAATACCCGAATATATGTCGGGGGCATATCCGGATATCAATATCCGGATATCTCACAGGCAATATCCGGATATCAATATCCGGATATCCAGATCTTCATATCCGGATATCCATATCCAGATATCCATATCTGGGTATCAATATCTGGATATTTATCGACCAAATATCCGGATATTTCGCGACAGAATGCAGTTTCTGCATTTCGCGAAGATATCCACCAAAGGTCCAACTTTTACCAAATAAATGCGTTCAAGACTCCATTTTTAGGTCTATATAGGTTCATACACATGTTAGTTACTTGCTTAACCCATTTACATGCAAAGACACCACCTTTAAATCATTTAAGCTCATGATCAAGGTTAGGCAGCTCACCAAAGCTTCAAACTCAGAAATGGAAGGCTCTTGGAGCTCACAACCAACTCCAAAGGTTCTGACTTGGTCCCAAAACGAAAATGGTCCACCAAAGGTTGATTCTTGCATCAAAAGGTGACTCCTTGGCACCACAAATGCCAAGCCAAAGGTGTACTCCCTCCACAAACACAGAGGCAGCAACCACAACCCCTCACACAGCAGCTCCAACTCTGCAAGAAGGTCTCCCACCCACTCCCAAGGCTCTATCTCACTCACACAAGGATGATTGGTGAAGGAAATGTGAAGAAAAGCTACAAGGAAGGTCAAGAAATGGTGGAGAAGGCAAAGAGCAGCAGCCACTAACAGTCACTCACGTCCAAATAGCTGAGTATCAGCCTAGGTTTTAGTGCCAAGCATTATATATAGGCTGTTTAAGTCACTAACACACAGTATTAACTTTAATTGCTACGCTTAGCATTTTAATCTCAAACTCAGGATTCTTAACCTACTCAATTTTACAAGAACTATCATATTTTTCTTATATTTTTCCCAGCACCTTTCTGGTACGCGCTTTTCATAGCCAGTATTAGTTTCTGGCATCAATTCTCATTATTTTAACTTGAAACTCGTTTTACAAGTCCTACATATTATTCTAGTAATTATCATGTACTTATTATAATTTTCCTGGATACTTTTTCAGTACGCATTTTCGTCCGAAAAGCGACTTTCAACATCATAACTCACTTACTATAATTATTAGAGCCTCATAATAATTATTAGGGTCAATTATGGAATTATTTCCTAATTTCACATAATTAAATAATTAACTTCCTTAATTAACGGTGCGGGTTCTTACACATAGTTTCTCCCAAGCAACATAATGGGCTTTCCTCTTGGATTATGTATCACCCCAAATGAAATTGCGTTGCAATTTTTCAATGTCCTGACATTCATGAGCAGGAAAAGTATTATTCTGCATTTGATAGCAAGGGATGACAGAAATAACACTTTTAGCTAAGGTTATTCTGCCAGCCAAAGCTAAGCACTTGCTTTTCCTTCCTTGAAGTTTGTTTTGAACTCTATTAATCACATCAGCATAGTGATCCTTCCTTGTTCTTCCATGTTTCATCAAAACTCCTAAATACTGACCAATATTGTTTACCTTTTTAAAGCCACTAGCATTGGAGATCTCAAGTACAACCTCCTGAGGAGTATTCTTAGAGAAAAAAATGCAGGATTTCTCTATACTAACACACTGCCCTGACATGCTAGAAAAGGTCTTTAAGCAGTTTAAGATGTTGTGCATTTGACTCAGAGAGGCTTCAGCAAATATGATGATATCATCTGCAAACAGCAGGTGGGATATGACTAGACCAGATTTGTTTGGACTCCAATTCTTCTTTTCCACTTCATCCATGATCAAATGAGTGAGTTTTTTCATGCATAGAACAAAAAGATAAGGGGATAAAGGATCCCCTTGTCTTATTCCCCTCTGCGGTTGGAAACCATGAGTTCTAGACCCATTCCAAAGGACCTCCATATACGAGTTAGTAACACACCCCATGATAGCTCCTATCATGGCTTCTGGAAATTTCAAGTCTTCTAACACAGCTCTTATAAAACTCCAATTGAGTTTATCATAAGCTTTCTCTAAATCAATTTTGATAGAGAAAAAGCTTTTCTTTCATTGCATCCTGCGCATTGTGTGTATAAGTTCCTGAGCAATTATAATGTTGTCCTGTATGTGTCTCTTTGGGACAAAACTAGTCTGGTTTGGAGATACAATATTCCCCAAGAATGGTTTTATTTTATTGACTAGAATCTTGCTGAGCCCCTTATATACCGAATTGCACAAGGCAATAGGCCTAAACTGCCTCATCAAGGATGGTCTGTCAACTTTAGGAATTAGAGCTATGAGGATGTGATTTATATCTCTGATTTGATCCGGATGATGAAGATAGTGCTGAATACTATTGAGAATCTGGGTTTTTAACAAATCCCAATTCCTTTGATAGAACATTGCTGGAAGTCCATCTGGTCCAAGAGCTTTAAAAGGAGGCATTTGAAAGAATGCAAGCTTGACATCCTCAAGAGAGATATTTACAGAGAGCTTAGCAAGATGATCATCACTCAGATCTGGCCAGCTATTTTTTGTTATACTCCAGACAGGGTCATTGCAGTTTTCCAAAAACAAATTCAAGAAAAAACCTCTTGCAAAGGAAATTAATCCCTCATCTCCAGTCACCCAGCAGCCTTTGTCATCCTGGAGTTTTAGGATTTTGTTCTTTTTTCTACGAATAAGGGTGCTGGTGTGGTAAAACCTGGTGTTTCTATCACCATCTCTAATCCAATCTCCCCTAGACTTCTGGTACCAAATTAACTCCTCCTGGTCCAGAATTTCTGTAAGCTCTCTCATTAGCTTAGCCTCCAACTCTTCAAGCTGAACACTATTCTTAGAAGTGAGTTGCCTTTGAATACCCTCCATACAAGCTATCACTATGTTCTTTCTGTGATAAGTAAAACCAAAAACATTCCTATTCCACTCCTTTAGCAATGGAATAAACCAATTCACACTCTCCAATTTTCTTTGAGGAAAGTACTAAACATGTGGTCCTTCTGCCAAGCAGCCAAAAAACAAAAAGGCCTATCTCTCCATCTGGACTCCTCATTCTCCATTCTGATTAGAATAGGGTTGTGATCTGAAAAAAGCCTAGGCAGCACCAAGACATCAGCTTCTTCAAAGTTTGCTCTCTAATCCTCATTATATACTGCTCTATCCAATCTTTTATATACTCTATCAAGATGGAGAAATTTGGGTCCTTTCCAAGTAAACCTATTTCCCCCACCTCCCAGATCCATAACACCACAAGCATCTAGCTCAGTGCTAAATCTGTTACATATGTTATAGTCAATAGGCTCCCCTCCTCTTTTTTCTGAAGCAAAAACAATTTCATTAAAATCACCAGAAAGTAACCAGGAGTCATTCATTGTTCTTCCAATTTTCTTCAACTCTTCCCATAACACCCTACGGTTCTCTTCTTTAGGATTGGCATATACAGCAATCCAAAAGAAGCCTTTCTTGTTAGGAAATTCCACCCAACAGTGGATGAATTGATCATGAGTAATTGAAGAGAAATCTGAACATCAGTGGAGTTCCACACAATCCAGATCCCCCCAGCAAAACCCTTTGCATCAGCAATTATGTAGTTGGAGAATCCCAAGCTACGAATTATGCTGATGGCTTTCTTTCCACTAACTCTTGGCTCTTAAACTGTTTCTTGGCAGCACCTCTACAGTTCCAGGTTAAGATATTCATTGAGAACTTTGGGATTGTTGCAAGATTCCAAAGTTCTTGCTACTTAAATCTTGAGTTTCAACATTGAGCTTCTGAAAACCAGCCTCTTCCTCAATACAAACAGAACAACTAACAGCCATAGCATCAGTAAGATTAATACATAAATGAGGTTCCAGTTCCATACCTGAGTGGCCTTCTACCAACTTTGCTTCTTCTCTCATGGTAAGATCAGGAGGGTCAGGATCCTTCATAGTATCATCACCATTCAAATTGTCATCAGCAATGCTGGAACTGAAATTAACATAAGTACCTTCTCCTGAAGACAAATATGCAGTCATCATCAAATCACCCCATGACAAGGCTGCTGCCCAGGAGAAGCTAGAATGGGGTTTTGAGTAGGCTTTTGCAAAGAGCTGGGGTGTGCTGTGAATATTGGGGACCTCTCTTCATGCGATGCACAATCATCCAAGGTCCAACACCTTGAGTACCAGGATTCTCTACTGGCTTTTCCTGAGCTATGTCAGTTCAGGGAGCTGAAGTAGGCATGACAAAATCAGGACAAGAGTCCGAATTATGCCCATATCTGCCACATTTGATACAGATTACAAATAGCCCTTCATACTCAACTCTTTTCCTATGCCCATCAAGTATGTACTCCCCTCTCAAAGGCTTTGAGAGATCAATTTCGATACAGACTCTTGCAAAACGAGCTCTGTCTCCAGTGGAAGTGGTTTTGTCCACTTTCAACACTTTCCCTATCACTGATCCCAAGTGGTTGAGAAAAGGAAATTCACAGTATTCCTGAGGAATACTGGTAGCCTTACCCATCCTACAACCCTGTGAATATTGGCTTTGTCCGGATCGAAGCAGGGCTCACATTTCCTAATTGCTAGGTAGTGGCCTAAGATGACCCAGGGGCCTCCAGAGATGGCAAGATTTAGATCTTCAAGGCTACTGAATCGTACAGAGAAAAACTCATTGCCAAGGTCCGCCACCGTAATGCTTCCTGCCTTAGCCCATAGAGATTCCAACCTTTTTTTTCATGAAACTGACCCCAACCTTCTTCCCCAAGAGCTTAACAATCAGGGCATTCTTCCATCGCTGACGCATCCTAGCTCGAGCTTCTTTATTACTTCTGATTTCCACTGATCCATCTTCTCTTATCACTGTTTGAAAACCCCACTCTGAGATCTCACCCATGCATGCAACGGTTCCAGATCGGGCTCAATCTCCTCCAAAATCCAGGGTATGGCCTCTCCAAACACTCTATTCTCCACCCCGTTACCTCAGCAAATGATCGCTGTTTTTCGATCACCGGAGTACCAGACTAATACTCCTTCAAAACTTCTCTCATTCGTGCTTCAGTTTGAATTTCTTCTCCATTCTTAGTGCGCTTCGTACTCCTTTGAGACATGGACAGTAGATCGCTGTTGTTGAAATTTGCTCCCTCCATTGAAAGAACTTCAAAGAAAAAAATCGTTGAAAGAAAACCTAACAGACAGTGAAATTTTCGCGCGCGTACGAATATGCGCCTAACCCATTATTCCTCTTATTAATACGATAGGTTCTATGCACTTTTTACCGAAGCAATTTTTTTTCTTTTTTGGGCAAAACGCCGTTTGGAAGCTTGTAGACAGAGTGACAAAGTGGACGGTTTGTTATATTTCATCTCGTCATCAATCTGTCAAAAAATGAGTCAGCTTGCTCTATTTTGCTATTAAAAATGGGCTAAAAAACTCGGTTTGTCCTACTCTGTTTGACGGGTTGAGCGAGTTGGCCTGTCAGCTCAAGTTTATTTTACACTGATATGTCTCGATCCACTTATGCTAGCCATCAATCCACACAAAAAGAGCTCATCCCGTCTGGTCTCACTTTTAAGATGAGTTGAAAATTTAGTCTCTTTCATCCTGGTGGATGGGTTGATCCGCCGAAACAAATTCATTTTGACTGCTCCATTTGTGAGAATAATCTTAAACAAACAGGTTGGATGTTATTAAGGAGCATTCACTGAATTCCACGTCACGCCTCGACCTTCAAAATTATTTTGAAGAGCTTGGAAAATCTCATTAACATTTACGAATGTGATCCATCCAAGTGGCAGCACGGATATTAAAAGTTGTTATGGGGGAACTGTGGAAGGATCAAAAGAAAATCATTTAAATACATGTTCTTAAAAACGAAAATAGAAAAAAATTTCCCAAAGGTTAAGCAAATATCTCATATTAAATTGATGATATATTCCTGGAGAATAATCGCTTTCGTTCGTTGCAAAAGTCAAGCATAATAATCACTTTTCCTTGATTTCGTTTAATCCAGAAAAGCTGTCACTTTGCCCTTTGAAACAACGAAGGAAGTAGAAAGATAGTCAACAGCGTACAATCCCTGTCTGTCTCTATTGATCTTGTTTCTGAGAGATAAAGATTAAGAGCTACAAATTGTTATAATAGAAAAGATGTGCAACTCAGAGGGTGAGTGCAGACCCTTAGGTTTCCTATTGGGTCTTCCTTTTGCATTTCTCTGCCTCCTCATCTCAATCGTTGGCATAGTTGTCTGGATTGTCGGGTAAAACATTCTTAAATTTCCTATGATGGCTTCACTTTGTTCAATTCTCTTTAGCATCTTACAATATGTTATTACCATGTGATTTTATGATCTGGGTTTGGATCTGATTGGGATAAAAAACGAAACTTTGATAATATTTTGCAGGTTGTTGCTGACTTGCATATGCCCTTGCTGCTTATGCCTGACTGTAATAGTTGAGCTTGCGTTGGAATTGATCAAGGCTCCACTGCACGTCATGGAATGGTTCACCTCTCAGATCCCTTGCTGAGCTGCTTTCGGTTTGTATCTTCAATCTAGGAAGAAAATAATTTGGACTTGTTGATTGATGATTCCCCTTCTCTTCTTGTCAATGTTTGTGTTTTGGGACTGGGGATTTTAAGTTCGTTGTTGATATTTGTGTTCTTTTAGATTCTCTCATCGAGAATTCGCAGCAGTATGTTTGATGAATTCCAGTTGAATAAAAAGAAAATTGAACAGTTCACTCTACATTTTTTTTTTGTCTCTAATGCAGATATTAGTTCGTTTTTGCATTATTTTTATCGTTTAACTAGAGTTTATTTATCTAGCCATCCAAACAATTTACTTTTCCCGAATATGTCAAGCATTAATTTTCATTGAAGAGGATTACTGATGGTATCACAAATTAACGCAGACACGACACATGTATTTTCAATAATTAGTATAACAGGGCTAAGAACTAGATTTTGAATGTGAAGTTATGTATTGGAAATGGTGTGGGAATGAAATGTGGATATATCAAAAAAAAATTTTTTTTTTCTGGAATAGAATTGATACGAAAAATTGGCAGCTTTTTCGTCTAAAGTCATTATCCAGCATGTTAGTTGTGCAGGTGAGCTTTGTTCTGTTCTGTTGAACTAGAAATTGGACTCTTCCCTGGCGCGTTCACTTTTTTCTTTTCTTACAAAGATTCACATGATATCATTTAATTCACAGTAGTCAATTTTCTTTAACCACAACCAGATCTGTATTTGGAGGATTCCAAAGTGGCTGTGGTGTTTATGCTTTAGCTGGTTATATTCTCTACTCCTTATCATCAAAAGCAAAGACAAGAACTCCTGTGAGATTATTGGGGTGGCATTTACCATCCTCATGACTCATTTTCGTTTTGTCTCTTGCAACTTTTCCTTTTATCATCTCTAGGATGGTCACAATGTAAAGTAGGAGGGGTCTAATTACATTTGATGTACCAATAAAACTCAAAAGAATACAACACCTTCATATATGTACTATATTTTAGAATCATTAAAGATTTTATTTATTTACAATTCCATAAAACACGGAACTTTCAGCTGAAGTACAAGTACATGATAGATTTCCATAAAACAACAACTCCATAAACATCTATGAAACTCACTGTTCACTTAAGCTTAAACACAGCCACCAACTTACTAGTCATGTTTAAACGCTCCTTGTTCACCACGTTGATTTTCATGTGAGCTAGACTTTGATCCAATGCTCTGCCTTGACTCTGTTTCGCCCTCTCCAACAGCAAGCACTTTAGTTGTCTGTGCTATATCTGCTATGGTTTCACCTATGGCATCCAACACCCCACCCCCTTTTCCCTCTACACCTTGTTGTTGCACTTTCTCCGCTGGTTTAATCATGGTTTCTCCAATCTCAGCCACAGTTTCACCTACGGCTCCCAACACCTTGCTCCCTCGATCAGTGGCAACATTGCCTAATGTTTCACCAGTGGTTGTCATTACCTCACTTCCCTTTCTCCCTTGAGGTTGTCCTTGCCCTCCCTGAAAGCTTTGTACATTGTTGCCAGTTGTGTTTTCTGCTGATGGCCTTTGCTTGGATTCCTAAATGCAATTGCAAATTTACAGTTAAGTTACAGCAAACAGTCCTCAACAAAATGACAACACATTTTCCCTTCTATTAAGTTCCAGCAGACACTACTGAATTCACTTTATTCAGGTACTGTATCCAAACCTTTGATGTATTCAAAAAAATAAGCATAGAGCTTGCTAGGAAGAAAATTAAAGGGACCTTAACTGTAACTCTCTTTTATTTCCTTTTAGTAATTTAATTAGATATTCATTTAACAACAAATCGCAGCAATTTTCTCTATTTGAAATTCATTATTGTAAACTAAAAGTCTCCACGTATTTAAAATAAATATATTAAGTGTCACAAACATGTTATTGCCACAATAACTCCAATCGTTGAATCAATCATACTGTTTTACTCAGTTTCTTGAGGCACAATACAATAACACACATATACAATATATAGAGCATAGACCATCGTCTTACAATTAAATGAACAATAAGTTAGATAAGCCATTGACAGAAATAAAAAAACCTGATTTTGAGCTGCTCTTTTGGTCTCCAATTCCCGCTCTGCCTCCTCTTTCTTCCTTGCTGTGTACTCCTTGGCAGTGTCACCAGCTGCAGCAGCTAAACCTTTAGCAGTACCAACCGACTTAGCTGCAAGCTCGGAAGCCTTTTGGCCTGCATAGCCTGCTGCTCCCTGAACAGCATTGGTGGCAGCCTTGGTTCCCTCCACAGTCTTCTCAGCAGAATAATGTGCAGCATTCCACCCTGCCACCGTAGCCTTGTCCATCAAATCCGCAGCCACTTTTGCAGCACTCTTGCCACTTTCCACTGTAACATCTTTGGCCTTCTCAGCAACTGGTGCAGTGTAGTCCACAGCACTCTTTGCCACATTGGAAATGGTGTCCTTTGCCCCAACATAACCCTTCTGGCCCTTCTCTCCTGTCACATCCTTTGTTTCAACATAGCCTTGTTGACCCTTCTCTGTTGTGGCATCTTTTTCCTGTGTTGCCTTCTCCTTTTCATGCATACTTTTGTCTTGAGAAGTTTGAGTTGCACTACTTGGTGGTGCCTCACTCAATGCTTGTTTTGCATTATCATATCTCTCCTGAGCAGCTGCAATAGCATCCATTGCCTTATGTTGAGCTTGAGCTCTATACTTGCCAATCTCACCCAACCTAGATCGTTCATTCTCTTCTTCATTTTCACCACCAACCCTATATCTACCCTCTTCTTTTTCTTCTTCTCTACATTCTCTTCCTTGTCCCTCAGTACCACCCAACCTACCCTTTACCTTGTCTTCAGCTCTATCTCTCGCTTTATCATCTCTTCTGTTTTCCATTGTTCTTGCTTTCTCAGCCTCTACTTGTCCTCTTCTTTCTTTCTCCTCTCCGCTCAACACTCTTCCCTTTACCTCTCTAGTTCTTCTCTCGAGGTCTGCTCTATCCCTTAAGGCTTCTTCCCTTGAATCCTTCCCTTCAGCTTCCATTTCAAACTTCCCCACTTGATGAACACCGCCACCACCTTTTTCTCTTTCTCTTTTGGCTTTTTCTTCAGCTTCTTTGGCTCTATCAGAGTAGAGTTCTCTCTCTTTCTCCTTATGATCACCCCCTCTTTCACTCCTCCTAACATTATCAGGAAGAGACTCGAAGTGAGTTCCCAATTCACGGGTCTCTCTTGCTCTCCCTGTGTCCTCCTTTCTTTGTTTCTCAATGTGAACCTCTCTCTCCATCATGTTATTTTCTCTACGAGGCATTTGCTCGGATGCCATTGTTTTGTTCTCTCTTTCCTCTCGAAAACAAAGACACTGCTTTTGTTTGTTGAGTTTGCTTTGTGTTTGAAGAACTGAATCGAACATATGAACACTTAAAAGAATGTGTTGTTTAAAAGAAAAGGGGCATGTCGGTTTGAATAGGTGGTCGTGGATGAGGTTTGCATGGGGAAGGACATGTGGTGTAGTGGCTATTGCAACGTGCGAGGGTCTTAGAACCAATTAGGTGACTCAGCTTCAGCATCAAAGTTTAAACAAGAGTTGGGGGACTTTAGGTTTAGGACACGTAAAAGCTTGTAGGAATCTCGTATTAGGACACATGGCTAGCATATATTACCGATAACTTGGTGTTATTCATGTTCCTTCTTTATCAATACCAGCACTGGTTACCCTTTTTCAACACATCACATTAGCATTCCTTTTGTCATGAAAGGCAAGGCTTATCTAAGTCGGGTTTCGAAAATTCGAGTTCCTAAGTTAAATTGGTCCTTTTGTAACCAAAAAAAAAAAATTGGTCCTCTTGGAAAATTGAACCGTTTATAAAAAAATATTAATCACATTTTTAAATGTAATATTTTGGTGTGGATAACTTTTTCGTGCTCATCTCTCATTTGAAGGAAGTCAAATAATAGTTTAAACAGACTAGTAAGCCCACACTAGACTTTTTGATTTTCAAATATAAATCAGATTAGATTTATAATTTAACGTATACAAAGTTAACAAACCAGTACCGACTCAAAATATTTTACATTACATAAATCTAATTAATTTATCTGAAATTATTTACACCCCTCTTCACAACTTGATCCTCAGTGTTATAAATTGAAGGCTACAAAATAGGTCGTATTCAAATTGAACAGATGAAACATAGAAATTAGAATTGCTAAAGTTTGAAACGTCACATCAGATTCTCTTATTGCTTACAAAAGCGAATTTGATCAAATGCTTGATTTACACTGAGCCACCAAGTCTTTTCCAATATGATTTTCAAAATTCAAAATGGGATTTGGTACAATTCAAGGCAAATTTCTGCCAAAATAATCTTACATTTACAATTTGGAGCATCAAACCCTTTTATTGCCCAATCAATTACAAGAAGTAAAATGCCAAAACAAATATTTCCTACAATTGAAAACAATGGGTTTTCCTCTAACATGTTTGACCTAATAAACAAAGTTGTCAAGTCTTTTTGCTGCTCTCAACTAGAAAGAGCAGCATACAGAAGCTCATTCCAGGTATCAGGAAGTCCTGGAAGACACCAGTGGCTACAATCTGTTGCCATAACCCCACTATACCCTTCAGGATGTGCATCTTTTCTGTACTGTGAGAGAGTTGTCACATCTAAGAAATAAACTGGCTTAGTTAACCTCCTTAACACCTTGTTCACCACCACCCAAGCCATTGGTGTCCCTGCAGGGTACTTCAAACCAAAGAATGGTTGTGTCTCACTCATGCATGACTTTGCTGGTTGATTCCAATCTCTCCCCCTAATAATTACCATACCATATACACAACCAAAGATTTCCAATTAAAATCTAGTACTACTTACATTATCATAGTATGTATAGCACATATCAATTTATACTGGTATAAGAAAAATGATTGTAATTTATTAATTATATGAACAGTTAGATGCATGCATAATCAATTTTTAAGATTTTGTGTAATACTTACACGGGTATAAATTGATTATGGATGTATATTAATACTTGATTAAGTATTAATCAATTAGATTGAAGGAGAAATTAATAACTTACTCATAATGCACAGGAGAAATTCCTAAAAAGAAGACCTTGGTTTGTGTTGGATTTACGTTCCTTTCAACCCACCTTGCCCAAGTTGTTAGGCCTTTGTAGTATGCAACGAAACGGTTCATGTCTTTGTACAACTTATTATTCACCTGAACATAATCCCACCTGTCATGAATTTTTAACTGACAAAAAATTAGCATCATTAACACTTTAGAATTGAAAATGATATATGGGTTTTGTTTTTGAATTTTGTCATGGTACATCATTTTCCTACATACTCAATATATACGGCGTCCATTAAATAGTGCGTCCATTAAATAGTGAAATGAGGAAAAAATTAAAGGTGGGTTTCAGCTTAAATTGTGTGTAAGAAGATTGATTTTTTGTCGTGTAACATGAAAAATCATTTTCACATATATATATAGGGTTCACTTTTTTTGCAGTTACTGCAGATAAGTTATCTACAGTAAGTCCAATATGACGTCATTTTGGAAGAAAATCATGGTGTTTTTGTAATTTTAATTTATTTTAAGATTATAATAGTCTTTATATTTATAATTTTTTAAGATTTCAATACCAAAAGGACGTCGTTTTGGGAAAAATGCAGATAACTTATCTGCATTAAGTGCAGAAATATTTTTCTCATATATATATATATATATATATATGACGAGGAGGAGGAGGATGTGAAAGAATGATCCTACGGTTGTGCGCTTCCGGTGTGGGTCCACCAATGCCACGTGTTGAAGATCAGCACGTCCATCCCTCTCCAAGCGTCACCATTTATGATTGAGTCAAGCTTCAAAACTCGTCCAACTTTCTCATGATCAAGGTCCACCAAATATGCTGTACGGTACAGAAATAACTCAAGGCCGTAGTCCTGAAAAAATACACAGCATTTGTGTTGTGACATGTGAGTAGTGATATTAACATAAGCATCCTTTTTATTTTATTCAATTTTTTTCATTTGGTAAAATCTCCCATTGAAGTAAATTTAGTTCTTAAGCAACCTCTCCAGTCTCTACCAAATTCTAATAATAAAATAAAATAAAAAGATAGCCCAGTATGCTATACTTTCATTATAGTGAGATTTGAAGTGGATATGAAGCCTTAGAATTTATTATCATCAAGTCAAAATATTGATACTCTATTTATTTACCAAGAAACATTGGTTCAACTGATAAATAACTTAAATGTTCAAATTGAACTAATTGGGTTTATGATGAACCAGTTGGGGAAAAAAATAATGATCCTCTATTTTAATAGTATAAAAGGCCAAAAAGGGACCCTTCCTTATCACAAAGAAGTGGTCTAATTTTTACCCTTTGCAGTACACTGAATTTATGGAGTAAAAGTAGAAGCACAAAAATGTGTCTGTATTAAACCACAAGTAGTCCATTTTGTAAGACATTAAGGACTTAAATTACCAATTATATGATTTTCCGAAGATACCCAGAAGGTGAGAAGCTTAATGTTTGATGTTACTCTTGCCGTCTCAATCTATACAGTTGTAAACTTAAGGTATAAGTTAATCTAGTTTAACTTCTTTTTTTATATATTTTCTTTATAAACTCAATTAACCCTCATGTAATTATGGATAATTTTACCTGTAATACTATCTAAATAGCATTAAGGAAGCTTATATTATAAACTAGCATGATGAAGCATATATATATTGTCCGATAGGAGGAGAGTGAAAGAAAAAGCAAATATCAAATTATCAATCATTGAATTTGCAGAAAATGGTTTTTGTTAATAGTAGTTGTTTTACTCATAATTTAGTTACAACTAATGATGTTAGCTGCGCTATTTCAATCATGGATTTGATCCCAATGGACCACAGCAAATATTGGAGGGAAAACTATATCCCCAACACTAATCATTGCTAATTGAGACATTAGTTTGACAAAGTTTTTGTACAAAGCAAACGGATTTTGACAATTGGAAGCACAACTTGGTTCTAAAAAAACAAAGAATAATATGAAGTTTAAGCAAACTTTGCTTATGAAGTAAGAATAAAGGTTTTACCATTTCCAGCATAACCAAATGAATCTGTGGCAAATGAAACTCCACATTTGTTCTAGTAATAGTAAAATTTCATAAATAAATATTATTTGTTTTTGGCTTTTCTTGATCTAGCTGAGAAAATTATGTACACGTACGTTTGAATTTGGTGGAAAGAGTAACAGAACTGTTAAAGTATATTAAGAGACAAACATTTATTATCTCTTAAATTACAGTCAGAAATGTCCCCAAGGAAAGACAAAGCCTCTCACCAATCACATCCCACCTTTATTGCTCACACCCCATTGCTTCCCAGTAGCGAAAATATATGCACCATATAACTATGACCAAATCCTGAGCTTAAGGCTTACAATACCCAAGTGGATCAGACTTGAGGTTAGTAGAATTTGAGATGAAACTTGGAAATCACTCAAAAAGTTTTATTTACTTTGAGTTGAAACTTCAAAGCAAACAGGACTTAAATGGATAACATCCCAAAAAAATAAAATAATAAAATAAAGGCAAATTGATAAACGAACATTTATTATCTCTTTAAAAAGATTAATATTTTTTATGTTATATAAAATAATTTTATTTCTTATACATATATAAAAGTATATGAAACCTATATAAAAATATATATATATATATATATATATATAAATCTCACACATTTTTATACATGTATAAAAAATAAAATCAGATGTAAATTAACAAATCAAAAATGTCTCCAACAAAAGGCAAAGTTTCCCACCAATCACATCCTACCTTTATTGCTCACACTTCAGTGTTCACAGTAACACAAAAATATGCACCATACCAAGTCCCGAGCAGGCTTATAATACCCCCAAAATGGCTTAGATTTGAAAGCAGCAGAGTTTGAGTTCAAACGGGGAAATTACTGAAAAAGTTTTGAACTTTGAATTAAAACTTGAAAGCAAAAGAGAACATGACAGGACTTTCATGGACAACACCCCAAAAGGAAAAAAAAAAATAATAATAATAATAATTTCCTGCACCATAATTCATTGCAAAAGTTTAAAAACATTGATAGAAAAAGTAAAAAGAAAAGCACAAAAATGAAAGAACCCACCTCAAATGTCACTGATGAAAGAGCATCTTTCTGTCTGAATGTGGTCCTGGAATTTGGTACCCAAGCATAAATCATACATGCCAATGAATTGAACTGGTTTAAGCTCAAGGAGTCACCAACAAACATAATCTTCTTCCCCCTATATCCCTTCAATAAGTCCAATCCATTGAACCTGGAGAACAATCTCATAACCCCATTTAGCCACTAACACCAACACCAACCTAAGAACACAACATGGTAAAAACAAACAACAAAAAACAATGAAAAATAAAAGTACCTTGGTAAGGGACAAGAAAATGGCATCCACCTATATTTCTGGTACAGTTTATCTGGGCGACCATACTTTTGGCAATTGAATTGTGGATCTATGAAGGGACACTTAGAAGGGTCATAGAGAGGATATGAAACATCATAGACCCATTTGCCACTGAACCAGTTACATGTTCCTGCAAGGTTTCTGCTTCTGAAACTGGTTGCATTACTGAACAAATCAAAATCCTCTGCTTTTGTATGGTGAGAAAACAGAAACAGAGTTAATAACAGAGCATGTGATAGTACTGCTACCAATAAACCCATCATTTTCTTGGGTTTCGTTCCCTCCCCGTGATTCTCTGTACAATGGAGAGAAAAAAAAGGGAAACAAGCTCTTATATAATGTGTATGGGGTGAAGAGGGGTTCCACAAATCCACATGCAATGTGAGAACAGAACAACTTGTTTTCTTGTTTTAATTATTATTTTTATGAATATTTAATTCTGCTGCAAGAGACAGTGAAACTTTGAATGAATTCTTTTAACAATTGCATCTTGTGGGGTTGGATGCCAATCCTTTTGAAAAAAATTGGATTCAAAAATAATGGCAACTCTTTACCCACCAAGAAAGACAGAATTTAAAATGTCTTGTAATAGTTTTCCTTTTTTTTTGTCCTGCATTGAAAGAAAACGTCACCAGCTGAAAATTTCTTAAGTGGGATTCATATTTTTTTTTTCTTCTTTTTAAATGACCTCAGATAGATTTTATATAATTGTATATGTGTAGAAGATAAAATTATCTCCTATAACATAGGCACAATAATCTCATAAAATAATGATTGAAATATTTTTTTTTAATTACATGTATAGGTCTGTTTGATTTAAGTAAGAAAAAAGTCTTATGTATATATCATGAATATCATATTTATGGTTCAGAGTTATTTTCTGCAATATATGGTACTTTGATTCTTTCAGTTTCAGGTCTCAGAGTGTTACTTTTTGTTCCGATCCAAAACCTGCCTCAGCTATGATTTTTCAATTAACTCTACTGCTATTGCCATGCTTTGACTATCCAACATACCCTATCATGTGCCTGCTTTTAGTGTGCTATAAAAAATGGTACTTTCTAATCAGATGTGAAGTGCATGGTATACATGGCCTTTCATTTGGAAAATGTTGTCTTTAATAGCTGACAAATTTAAACAAAAAAAAAAAATCTTTTTTTGGGGGGGTACTCTTTTCTAGGAAACTTCTCATTTGTTTGAGTTTTGGATCTTATAATTGCAGGGAAATTATCAGTTAGTTAAACTTAGTTCTTGATTGAAACAGGGTGAGAAACATCCTTTTCAGTATTAAATTGAGAACATGAACACTACGCAAAGGTATGAATCTCCTAACTAAAAGATGTTAGATATTGACAGGGACGCTTGGCGCAGTCACATAATTAAAACTATCTTGAATCACACTTATGAGCTTACACTAAAATAAGATTTTATAATTTTTTGAGATTTATATATTTATCTTTCATTTTCTGAGTCTTTTGCTTTTATTTTGTATGTGAAGCATGTTTGAAAATAATTATTATAATTATTATTTTTTGAAAAAATATATTAAGAAGTTATAAAAAAAATTATCTAATAAAAGCAAATTAATTAGTGCGGCAAAAGGTTGGTGGATGAAGCAAAACTAGATGAAATAAAAAGCAGTAGCCACCATATTCATGACATAAAAAATAACTTACAAAAGACAGTGTGACAAACACTAGACGTCTTGTCTTGTTCTGTTAGAAACTCAAAAGCAGTTCAAGGCCAGGCTGGACTCAGCAAGTACGAGTTTTTGTTAAATTTGATGAAATTGTTCACTTGCCATATGAGAGCTGAGCAGGTGAAGACGAGAATATGTGTTCGATCCTTCCCAGTTGATCTACCCTGAATAGAATTGCATCGTATGGAAGATGTTGTAAATAATATTGATTATTTAGTTTTTATTTAGTCATTTATTGTTGTATTGGGCCAAGCCCTTTGTTGTATTAGGCCAAGCCCATTAGGTTAAAAGTAGGTCAAATATTCTCTATAAATAGAGAACCTTTTGTACACATTATTTACAATTCTATAATATATTAGAATACTCTTTTTCAAGTTGGTATCAAAGCCGGATTGGCCTCGAGCTAGCCTAGTGATTGGCTAGGAGGCGGGTCGGGGTTGCTGAAAGGAAAAATCGTCATCTTCTTGAAGTTGCTAGAGCACTACTTTTTCAGACATCTATTCCTAGTTCTTATTGGGGAGAAGCAGTATTAGCTGCAACTTTTTTGATCAACCGTTTACCTTCACGGGTCCTTAACAATATCAGTCCTATTCATTCCATGACTTCCTTCTTTTCTTCTGTTCCCATATTGCAGAGCCTTCCACCAAGAGTGTTTGGATGTGTTGCCTTTGTCCATGTTCATAAACAACATCGGAGTAAGTTGGATCCTAGGGCTCTTAAGTGTGTCTTCCTTGGTTATAACCCTTATAAAAAAGGGTACAAGTGTTATCATCCACCAAGTCGGAAATTTTTTGTTTCTATGGATGTCACCTTTCAAGAATCTGAATCTTATTTCCTGGGTCTTCATCGTCAGGGGGAGAATAGTTCTTCAGAAGACTCGTCCCCTTCCTTCTTTGAGTCTGGATCAATCTTCTCTTTTCCTAGTGTGTCTGTTCCTGGTGTGTCAGAACCTTCAAATACACCTGAGATACAACCCATACTGTCTCACCAGCAACCTCAATCGTCTGAACCACTGGTAAGTCCTGAATCTCCTATTTCTTCTGAGTCTCCTGAATCTCCTGTTTCTGATTCTAATATTATTTCCTCTCATGATTTGTCTATTTCTTCTGATATCTCTAATGACTTACTCATTGCTTCTACTTCTGATGACTTACCTATTGCTCTTAGAAAAGGAAAAAGATCTTGTCACAAGAAAACTTGTTCCTCCTGTCCCTCTTGTACTCAATACCCTATCTCCCACTTTGTTTCCTCTGCTAATCTTTCTGTGCAGCACAAAAGCTTTGTTTCAGCACTAGATTCTATTACAATCCCAAAATCAGTACATGAAGCCTTGAAAGATAGGAATTGGGCTCAAGCCATGTAAGAGGAGATGAATGCTTTGGAGAAAAATAAAACATGGGAGGTTATTGATAGACCCAACGGAAAGAAAGCAGTAGGGTGCAGATGGGTTTATGCCCTGAAATATAATTCTGATGGCACTCTTGAGAGATATAAGGCTCGATTAGTGGCCAAAGGTTACACTCAAACCTATGGCATTAATTATGAAGAAACCTTTGCTCCAGTTGCAAAGATGAATACAGTGAGAATCTTGTTATCCCTTGCTGCCCATTACAATTGGGATATAAATCAATTTGATGTGAAAAATGCTTTCCTCAATGGTGAGTTAAAAGAAGAAGTCTACATGGAAATCCCGCCTGTTTTTGATTCTGTGAAGGGGGAAAATAAAGTTTATAGATTAAAAAAGGCCTTATATGGATTGAAGCAGTCACCTCGTGCTTGGTTTGGAAGATTTACTAAGGTTATGATGACCTTAGGATACAGACAGAGCTAAGGAGATCACACTCTTTTCTTCAAGCACTCCCAAAATGGGAAGCTTACTGTGCTCCTTATATATGTTGATGATATTATTATCACAGGTGATGATTTTGTGGAGAGACAGATTCTGCAAACACGGCTTGCCTCTGAGTTTGAAATCAAAGACCTTGGAAAACTGAGATATTTCCTAGGGATAGAAGTAGCTCATTCAAGCAAAGGAATTTTTATCAGCCAGAGGAAATATGTTCTTGATCTTCTCAAAGAAGCAGGAAAGCTCGGGTGTAAACCCTCTAATACTCCTATTGAGCAGAATCACAAGATGGGCTATGAAGAAGAGAGTCCTCCAGTTGATAAAGGACAATATCAACGGCTAGTTGGGAAATTGATATATCTGGCCCATACTAGACCAGACCTAGCTTATGCTGTTAGTGTTGTCAGTCAGTTTATGCACGATCCAAAGGAAAAACACATGCAGACAGTAGAGAGAATTCTTCAGTATCTTAAAGGTACTCCTGATAAAGGATTGTTATTCCAACGTGATGGCAATCTATCTTTAGAAGTCTACACAGATGCTGATTATGCTGGATCTGTGACAGACCGTCGTTCTACCACTGGTTATTGCATGTTTCTTTGCGGTAACTTGGTGACATGGAGAAGTAAGAAACAAGATGTGGTTGCCAGATCAAGTGCAGAAGCTGAATTTCGAGCTATGGCTCAAGGCATTTGTGAGTTACTGTGGCTGAAAATTGTACTTGATGATCTCAAAATAAAATGTGAGGGACCTATGAAGCTGCTATGTGATAATAAGTCCGCTATTTGTATAGCTCATAATCCAGTTCAACATGATCGGACTAAACATATTGAGGTCGACCGCCATTTCATCAAAGAGAAACTTGATAGCGGGTTGATTACCACTCCATACATTCCCGCTGGGCGTCAATTAGCTGATCTATTAACAAAGGGGCTTCCTTCAGACAGATTTCAAGAACTTACTAGCAAGCTGGGAATGATAAATATCTATTCCTCAGCTTGAGGGGGAGTGTTGTAAATAATATTGATTATTTAGTTTTTATTTAGTCATTTATTGTTGTATTGGGCCAAGCCTTTTGTTGTATTAGGCCAAGCCCATTAGGTTAAAAGTAGGTCAAATATTCTCTATAAATAGAGAACCCTTTGTACACATTATTTATAATTCTATAATATATTAGAATACCCTTTTTCAAGTGAAGATAGTTGATATTTATAAAAAATAAAAAGAAGCAAAAAAAGAAATTTGCGAGTCAAACAAAGTTGTAATCACCACGTGCTATTTGCAAAAATATAAATAAATAAACAATCTTAGTTGAAATTAAGTTTTACAAAATAACATGTACTAATAAAGAATCCTTGAGTTGGTTACCCAATTATACTTTTTATACTATTATAAGGTATAAATTTTAATCTATTAAAAATGATTACTGATAAGCGATTGAGTAATTTATATTAAGTGTTATGTTGAATACTCAATTTTGGAGAGAGAAATTTATCTTTACTTAATTTCTCAGCGAAAAATATTTTGAAAAGATTAATTGGTATTTCGAAGAGTTATTATTATTTATTTTTATATTTTTATTTCGTAAATAATCATGCTTGATTTTAGAGGTGGCAAAGTGGGCGGTTCGCCCCGCCCTGCTCCAACCTGTCAAAAAATGAGTAAGCCTGCCTCGCCCCGCTTTTGAAAGTGGGCTGAAAAACTCAGTCCGCCCC